TACGTAACGTAAAAGTTAAAGTAAGTAGTTTACGTTTTACGTTTTACTTATTAGTAGTAATAGTAAGTAGTTAGTTGTTAGTTAGTTAGTAAGTAGAGAGAGACGTAGTAGTAGTATATATATATATATATATATATATATATATATATATATAGGAGAGAGAGAGAGGACAAGCAGGTTAAAATCTGCCATCCCATCTACTACAACGCAACACATCAAATTACAAATTATCTGGTTCCAGAGAGAGGGAGAGAGAAAAAGAGAGAAGGGGTAATATATTTGCATGAATCATCAAAAAGTTGGGATACAATACTTTCCCTAAGAAATTTGACATTCACAAACATCATAACAGCATGTTTCAGAATCAGAAAATAAAAATTGGGGGATTGCCATAAAAGCAACTAAGAATATGACCAACAAACAGTTTACATGATTTTACATTAGAGACAAGATAAATAATCTGACTGTACATGAAGGCTTCAAATATCTATTATATCTCAACAGTTCCTCCATGCAGTGGTTTCTGAGTGTGCACAACTAAGTTCTAAAGATCAAGAATGCATTAAGGAACTAGTCTGTGGAAATTGGTCTACTTGCTTGATGAACGTTTTGACGTGAATAAGAATCTCAATAAGATCATAACCTTTTCAAATAGAGCTCAGAGATGACAAGCCTCCGATCTTTTTGTGCAAAACAAGCCAATGACCAAACTAACTTTTATAAATGACATGCAGAAGGAACTGATTAAATGATCCATATGAAGGCGAGAGTACAATCAATTCCAACAATGAAATTTTTTCATCTCAGATATCATACAAGAATAAGTGAAGGACAACAATCACCAATTTACAGGAAGGAAAATATCAGAAAGACCAATGAGCAAGATAACTATCAGAACAATATATGAACATGAATCAGGTAATATGCCAAGATTGTAGACAAGTACTGGTATTCAAAAATTTACAAGATTGAACTCCAAGGCTAAACGATGTATATTAAAACATAAATAAGAGCCCAAAATCAATAACACAATATTTCTTTTCAACATCAGTTTAGAGATCAGAAGAATGTCACCTCGGTACAGGTATCAGTCAAGTACAACGCTGATTGAATTAGGGGTCAGAAAAATGAGCAATTTCTATATATAATAGTCACAAAATCACGTTTTCTGCTTACAAAATGAAGCAAGAACTCAGAAAATTAAACTACGAAGCAGATAAACCCCAGAGATTAGAGGATATCTATACTTTCCAAAATAGAACTTTAATATTAGAGGAAATTAAAGTTTCTGCCAAGAATAACTATTAAAATGTACACCACTTACTACAGAAACCAACTTAAGAGATCAAATAATAGTTTAAATTTGAACACGGAAAGTTTGTTTCTAAAGAATGATTGGTTCGAAAAAAAACGACCCTGAAGCTCAGAAAAATAGCCATCCATTTTTAAAAAATAAACATAGGAAACTAGTGAATTGTATACAACTGTTTTCAATGTTACGTAATTGCATACATTATACTAATGAAAGATCGAAGGTTTATAAATTCAACTACGAATAATTGTACTCTATCAAAACACATACTTATGTCAAATCCTGTGTAAAGAATTTGACGAATGGTTGAGAAGAATAGCCCATTCTAACAAAATTAACATAAAAAATGAGATCTCTCCTACAACTCTGCAGAAATTAACTGACAAGAACCAGATGAATAACCTCGCTCTACATAAATCAATGTCAAGAACATAGAGATATTCATCAGAAACGCATGTCGACATAGACAAGGACACTAATTACTAGGGAAATGAACTTAGCCTAAAGAACAACTCCAAATGACTAATGGCCATGAAGCCCATGAGCTTCAAGACTAAGCTAATCACAAAGAAAGCAATACTGATATTTATTCACATAAGTTTAAAGATCAGAAGCAGTAACATCTCTACAACTATAATCTTGATTCTTGAATATCAGGAGAGCAACCTACTTTCTTTATTCGCTCATCTCAGTGATGTGTTGGACCAAACCTTGAAGAGAAGCATACTCCAGCCATGTCCAATCAGAGCTTAAGTCGCTGAGAACAAAGAAACGAGAAAATTACTTACTGCAAATGAAGGAAAAAGAAGATAATCCATCAATCGGTGAGAATTTTGCCAAAGAAGATGAAGAAAAGGCATGAAAAGCAAGATTTTAAAGACCTTGAAAACACCACGCATGGCGCGTTGTCAAAATAAATGCAAAAACCGCCAAGAAAACGGATGGATCCAAGCTATAAAGCTCTCTCTCTTTCTCTATCTATATGAAAGTATGCTTCGTCTCTTTCTCTTCTCTCTCTCTTTCTCTCTCTGTATGGAAGTATGCTTCGTCTCATTCTCTTCTCTCTCTCGTTGAGTGACTGTTTTTGAGAATGAATTCTCTGTCTAGGAATCCATTCTCTCTCTAGGAATCCAAAAAAACAGGGCAACAGAGCGGGAAATTAGAGGCCACTCTCTCTTTCTCTCTCTACAACAGGTGTCGTTCATTTGATTTCATGGCAAATTGGGGTTGGCATCTGAGTAGCTGAGCTGCCATTTAACCTCACTTTGTCTTGCCTGCATTCGAACCAAATCCTTCGTCGGACAGCGCGATTCCACAGGATTTATTACCAAGATGCCCTGCATTTTGTCATGAAATTTTCCCAACTATCCTTTGCCTTTCAAGATTTTGTCATTTTGAGAGGCCCGCGCTCCACCAAACCCCATGGGAAAAGGTAGGGAGTTTAAAATTCGAAGAAGAGGAATTCGAGGGAATTATTTGAACAAGAGGAATTCGAGGGAATTATTTGAATAAGAGGAATTCGAGGGAATTATTTGTGGTCGGTCGTGGGACCTCTAATGAAACATGAGGTTGAGGCTTTTGCCACATGTTTTTCTTAAAAGATAAAATTTGGAAGTTCAGATTTTGGAACTGGTTCGGAAAAACTCGGCCAGCCAAACTTGTCAGGTATCTGGATAGTCTGACTTAGGGATCTTAAAAAAAATTTAAAAAATCTAAAGAAATCTATTTTAATATTTTATTTTATATTTTTATTATTTTGATAGAGATTGAAGTATTTTTATTGTGAATACTTATTTTTATATTTTTCATTCTTTTTGGATTATTTTCAAAATATATTATAATAGTGTATTATAATTGTATGAGTTATACTATATTATATTATTATAACAATAGTTATAACTATTTATATTATATTATAATAAATAATAACTATTTATATTATATGATAATAAATAGTATTATACAATAGTAATAACTATTTTAATAGGTATATAAATACAATTATAATAGTTATAATAATAGTAAGGAAAAATGTTATATAAGGTTTCAACTTTATAATGTAGAGCTACGGATGCATCTCAAAATCCATTGCAAAATGTAGTTTTAATGTTGAAAAACCCTTTGATTGATCATCTCGACATCGAGGTCAATGACCATGAAAAGTAAAAAGATTTTAAGTCTTATAAATAGTGCATTTTACAACATATTATTTGCATCATCCATTTTCAAGATTTTCATATGTTTATAAATCTATTGGAATTTCAACATATTACCTTTACAGCTACGGATGCATCCATATGCCAACTGCACCCTAATAGTAATAGTAGTTAACAATAGTAATAACTATTAATATTATATTATAATAAATAGTATCATACAATAGTAATAAGTATTATAATAGGCATATTAATACAATTATAATAGTTATAATAATAGTAATAGTAGTTATTAGTTATACACTATTGTATTATGTTACTATTATAATATTATAACTATTATAGTTGTAGCTATTATAATAGTAATAACTATTAGAGTTGTTATTATTATAATAGTTATAACTATTTGTATTATAGGTAGGTACTGTTATACTATTATAACTAATATTACTATCTTCACGTCACAAATTGATTTTTAAAAAATTCATTTTTAGTATTTTTTTAATGTCATTTAGATGTGTTTTGTTTAATTTTACTTTAAACATAATTTTCCTATTGTTTGGGATATTTTGCGTTTGCTGAAATTTTGTTGACACTTTTTAGCTTGACAAGACCCGACCCGACTAGGGGCGAGTAACTAAAACTTGGTCCGAGTCACTCGGCTCCGCCATGGCCTCGGTCCTTTCCCCAAGTCATGGTGTGGTATCTTCTTCTTCTTCTTTTTTTCCTTCTTTTTTTTTTACAGTCCAATTTGAAAAAGCACAAATTTTAACCTAACCGAGCATAGGACCGGCCATAGCGGAGATTAAGGGCCTAAATGGGTCCCTCGCGGTATAAATTTAGATCGCTCATCCAAATGGTCCGCCCTGGAGAAATTAGATAACCAAGAAATTACAAAGAAGAAATTGCATAAGAGGGCAATTCTGCGGTCTTCGAGAACTGGATCTTCCACATACCAATTCCTAATGAGAAAACACTGTAACAAGGGCATGCTTTTTCGATTAATTTTTTTTGTACATTTTGTATGCCATGCATTTTAGCTGTAGCACTTGGATGGGGGCTCTGCATCACTATTAATTCCTACAATTAATTAATGGAGAAATTGTTCAAAGAAAAAAAAATAAAAGAAAAGGTTGAGGGTAGATAATGGAAGTCTTCTGAGCGTGGCTTGTGACAACAGTTCACACAAGCTCCAAATCACGCCCTCTCCCCTCGTGATTTACAGTGTAACCACGTGCAATGTGGTCTCGAAAAGCATCTTGTACTTTTGCTCTCGGCAAAAGCGCTGCTGAAGAATTTTTTTTGTTTTTTTGAAAACTTTTACATCTACTTTGGAATGGGCAAGCTTTTTGAGCAGTGATCCAATGCAACCGTGCAACGACATTTCAAAGAAACCATGTGTTGCAGTATTTGTATGATCCCAAATTCTACAAATATTTTTTTTATCTTAATAATCAATCCCTTCTAAAATAAAAAGTTTAATTTGAACCCTAAATATCGTCAAAATGAGTCTCCTCCAAAAACGAATATCAAGATCTTAGCTTTTATAAACTCAAAATTAGTTTTGTCTTTTTTAACATTGTTCATCTAATGGTAATAAATACATCCAAAAAAATTAGAAATAAAAAAATCCTTTTAAAGCGTAGATCTAATCATCTCACCAAAATGAACGGCCTATATTAATTGAGCTAAAAAAATACTTTCTAAGTTGTGTTTTCAATTTTTTCTTTTTTTGTGATTATTTATTAGAATGAAAAGAGTGTATATTTCAAATTTTGGATCAAACAAGTGGCCATAAGATGATTTTTTAAGATTGTTGCATTATATTACTATACAACGGTTGTATGAAATCATTGCCCAAGCATTTTATACTTCCCGTAATATATATGGGCAATGATCTAATGAGCCGGTTGTATCATAGTATAATGCAACCGCACTTCTAGAAACCATGTTTGTAGTATTTGTATGATCCAAAATTTTACACACACACTCTCTTCATCTCAATAATCAATCCCCAAAAAAAAAGAATGCAATTTGAACCCAGATATTATCAAAATGAGTCTCCTCCAACAATAAATATTGACCATTCATTTGGTGAATTTCAAGATCTTAGCCTTTACATACTCAAAAACATTTTTTTCATTTTTAACATTTGTTCATCTAATTATGATAAAGTCATCTAAAAAAATTGAAAAAAAAAACAATCCTTCTAAGGCCCAGATCTAAGCATTTTACTAAAATAGACAACCTATATTAATTGGGCTAAAAAAATACTTATAACGTTACGTTTTCAAATTTTTCCTTTTTGTGATTGTTCATTAGAATGAAAAAAGTGTATATTTTAAATTTTGGATCAAACAAATGGCCCTATCATAATTTTTCAAAGTTGTTGCATCATATTACTATATAGATACCTATATATATATATGGGAAATGACCTTGTGAGACCCTCCACACCCATGTGTGTAGGACTTCGAAGGATAACCATTGGCATAGATCTTTAGAAAAGTCAAGTCTCACACCCATGTGATAAATTTAATGGCGATCCTTTGGAGTTCTAT